TTATGGTGCAATGCCATAAAATCTTTAAGTATCTGTTAAATAACACGACATCTCATATTGATGCATTAGTTCAATCAAAGTTTTTAGGAACCGCGTCATTTACCGTAATCACAAAATTATCCAGCATGTCCGAATGTGTACATAATTGTCAAGGAAATGAAATTTAACGACCTAGCCAAAACATATAAATGAACTAAAATTAAAAAAACATACAAGACTAACAAAGTCCAGAGGCTCCTGACTTGGGATAGGCGCAAAAATGCGGCGGGGTTAAACCTGTTTTTATGAGATCTCAACCCTCCCCCTATACCATTCCATTTTAACTGAACTAGTAAACATTTTTATTTAGGGGCCAGCTGAAGCCCGCCTCCTGGTGCGGGATTTTCTCGCTGTGTTGAAGACCCATTGGTGGCATTCGGTTGTTTTCTGCTCTTTGGTCAGGTTGTTGTCTCTTTGACATATTCCCTATTTCCATTCTCAATTTGAATTAGTCGTCTGCAACTATGACTGAGGTTTACTGCTAACTTTGATAGATATTTTTATAAAGTGTTAACTGCATGAATGTTGAGCGGCAAATATTTCATGCATTTTCAACACTAAGCAAAAATATGATAAAAATAGAAATAAGGCAATGTGGTATGATTTCCAATGAGACAACTATCCACCAAAGTTCAAATGAAGTCGATGTAAGCAATAATAGTCAACATGACGGCCATCAACAATGAACAACCTCATACCGTATAGTCGGCTATAAAAGGCCCCGACATGAAAAAAATGAAACAATTTAATTGAGAAGATCAACGGCATCATTTATAACAAAACAATTTACGAAAAATCAATATGACGGACATGAACAAACGACAACAATTGAACTACAGACTCCTAACTTGGGACAGGTACATAAATAGTACACGTTTCTTGTACTTAAAATTGACTTCTTACTCACTCTTGCAGATTATAATAAATGGATTTGGGTATAATTGATTAGATCTTCAAAATTAGTATTGGTATTTGAAATATTTCTGTCTCGGGATGAAGAGTAATAAACAGTCGAAATGAGCATCGGGTGTTGTAAAATTGGTACTGTTAATGTTAAACATATACCTGTATATATAGTGAAAAAAGTGTGGGTGTACATACACACTTGTTTTTCTCCCATTTATGACGAACACGAACTTATTTTCGTCTGTGATTTTGATTAAATACTTGAATTCATTGCAGATATTCTACAAAATTCTAATAAAAACAAGGCCTTAAATTTAGCAGTGATTCTTGTGTAACTATCAAAAGCTTTCCTTATATCTTTAAAGTAAAAATGCAATGATTCGGACAACTTGCAGGCTATGTATATAAGACATTTCAAAGTTAAGTACGATCGGTAGTACTACATTATCAAGAAATATAACCGCCGTACCAATTTCCAGATGTTGCTGAGTCTCAAAGCATAAATACAGAGAAAAACATTTTGCTTCAAAGACGAATTGCCTGAAACGTAAATTGAAGAAAAAAATTTGATCTGATTATTTTCACAAGAATTGCACTTGTACACCTATTATGCATTTCAATAATAACGAAACCTCAAAACGCACATTCACATTTAGGTTTTGAGTACGCCTAATATGTTTTTACTTATTGTGAAATCTAGTTTGTTTTGCACACAGTCCTATTTCACGATAACATATCTGTTTATTCAATAATGTAACAAAGACTTACAATTTCATTGCATAACAAGTTATTTCATTTACAGATGTTTAAAGACTTATATCCGAATTGTTACCTTGCATTTTTCATTGTCTTTAGTGTGTGTGTTTAATTTATAAAGTTCGTTGTACTCTGTAACTGTTGTTTTTATATACAATATTTCTTTTAATTATATACGCTCTAGTTTATAGGTTACATTTTTCTAAGCATGTAGATATTCGGTATTCAAAAGAGACAAAACATTACCTGATAATTAAGGAGCCCTGTTAGCTATATTGAGCGCACAAAATATTTTTTTCTTTAAAGGTTATTAAGCGGGGCTCCGTAAATATTCGTTGATGGATCCAGGTAAAATAATTTTAAGAAAATGTTTCTGCAAGTGATTAAGGTTTTGAAAAAAAAATATATAAATTTATATAAAGTAAAAAATATATTTGTAAATAAAGTCCATCTAGAAACAATTTTTTTTTATGAACAAAACATATCATTCGTCAAACGTGGAAGTAACAAATGTACAAGCAAAATAAAAGATATGAATAAGTGTAGTACTAGATATTTGTTTTTGTATAAAATGTGTTTGAAATAATCATGGAACACGATATAAGATGACATTTGTGCAATCTGATTCCTTATTGTGTGCTAATTTTTTTAGCTGTCTTATACAAGTAGGGTGCCAAGTGTAAAAGAAGCCTATAGTAAACAAGTTTAACTTAACGGAATAACATACGGCTAAATATATTTGCAAATAATAGGAAAATCATTATATTTTACAATCATGATTATCGTCGTAAAATCCCGTGGTTACGATTTTCTAAATTTCGCGATTTTACAGGTTACAGTAATTTCAAAGCTGAATTGGCATTGATATGACTTAGCAAGCCACTATAGCCACTGAAATATACGTGTCGAGCATGCATGTTGTCTATTTAATAAGGATGGTTTTGTGAAAAGAATACATTTATTGGCAATGCAGTCTATCATTCAGGTTAATAAAATATTTGCTGCGAAAAAGGTATAATATATCAAGCAATTATTATAGGTTACCATGCGACCGTCAAAATAGAGAAAAACTTAAACCATATAGCCAGGTATGAAAGGCCCGGCCATGACAAACTGTGAAACAATTCGAACGAAAAAAAAACTTCCGATTTATGACAAAACATTTAACGAATATGTTTCGAAACTTTGGGCACTTTTTTTTCTGTCTATTGGTGAAAGATGTAGGTTTAAAAAAGGAAAACATAAGAGTGCATTTGCTTAAAGGTTTGGCCTGCTTTACTGATCATGATAACATTGAAATTGAAAGTCTTGAAGAGAATATAGTCATACAAAAAGTATAACACTATCATTTCATGCACCAAATACAGTTGACTAATTGCTTATAGTAACTGAGATACTGACTTAACCACAAAACTTGTTCACTGATCCATATAGTGAGTCGAGGTCAAATGAACCGTAAATGACGAACCTGTAGAAATTGCAATGATACCCTATACTTATAACCCTAAAATTTTCATAAGTAAGTTCACATGACGAAACTACTATTCAGTTTTATAGCAGTCGCTGAACCGTGGAAATGAGGTCAAGGACAATGATCATATGACAGACAAAAACTTCGCAACGCATCTGTATACAAGGTATAAAGCATCCAGGTACTCTACCCACGAATTATAAAGCTATGCAAATACTTAATAGTTTACACCGTTTCCGCCCCCACCGTCGGATAAAATTCTCTATTTTTGTTTTCATTCTGCGACTTGCGTCGCAATAATAAAGTATTACAACAATATCGAACTCAAAGGCAAATTCAAAAAGAGAGAGTCTCTAAAAAATGAAAAAAAAAATAAAATCAAACGCTATCAATCAACAGAACATGTAAAAACAACTGCCATATTCCTGACTTGGTACATACATTTTCCGGAGAAAAGAGTGTGTTAAACCTGGCTATATAGCTAGATAAACCTCCCATTGTATGTCAGTTGTTTATAGTTCCCCGTAGTATTAAATTTGAAAAAAATTGGGTGCGCAACCCAAACATGCATAAAACAGACGAGACAACAAATCAAACTGTCTCTGAACTAGACGTGGGAGGCTGACTTTCAATCTGTCAGTAGAAAACAACTTCTACTATTAGTTTTGAAAATTTTTCTATATATGTTGTCTGCAAGTGTTAAATGTTGTAAAATACATTGCTGCTGTACAGAATCCTCTTCCTGTAGATATTTATTAATTACAGGTCAATTATAAAACCAGTTTCAGCTCAATAAGTCCTATTAATGTGTAAGATGGAGTGATTTACTTGTTTCTAATAAACATATTGCTTTCATAACTTTGACTCTCCCCCGTTTTCACCATTCGCAGCACTTCACATTTCCGTAAAGCAAATATATACTAAAAACTGCTGTTTCAATCGATTAACGTTCATATTACACAAGTTTTGGAAGAATGTACAAATGTAGGTGCTTCCACACTCGATCGCAAAAAGAAACTTAGATATTTACCCAGAAACTGACTAACACCTTTTATCAAACGACGGGAGACACAACAATTTTTAGGGGCAACTTACAAAATGTTAATATATAAAAAAAATCATCTATATATTTCACTTGTTCACAAATTCCAAATGTTAAATTATAATGAGCAAGGTCACTGTTATTAATAGCGTATTGAAAATTGTACATGTACAGCCTATAAGTATACATGTCAATATCGGGTTATATTTGGCAACATCAATATCAAATTGGTCCTCAATATAGGAACTATACAAATAATTATACGAATTAAGTTTGCTCCTACCACATGTATGTCGGTGCGACAAACTGTCTAAATGTGACTATACGTTTTCCCTGAAATTTAAGATTTGACCTTTGACCCAAATTTAAGAAAAACACGTTTGAAGATAACGACGGTTGTCGATATTTATCGATATTTCGATTATTTCGTTAACCCAACCCGCATAAATTCGTTGACCGGGCACCCTATTATATAGGATTATCTTCATCCGTCTAGGAAAAGGCAGTAATGAACTTTTTTCTCTCAAAGATTTGGCAAAAACAGTTACTGAGTGTACCTTCTTTACATTATGAGACATTTTCACACTCTTACACCAATAAAAAAGAGGTGGAAAATACAATGGGACATTCAAAACTCATAAGTTGAAGAAAAACTGCCAACGTCATTGAAATAAAACATATGTTTGTTCGATTTTCATAATAACATATTAAATACTTAGTCTTATGAAAGGAACATGATTATTCACAGGTGGTTCAACACGACATTGGTATTTATGAAATACAAACCTGATGCAGTTGTATGATCATCATTGGGTCCAATGCTTGTGGTATCGCCCTGTACAATATTCCAGGAAAAATAGTATTCGTAGTCGTATAATGCATTACTCAGACCACACGTGCTAAGTTGCTCAAAAGTGCATATTATTTTACTGCGTTCTAAAATAAATAAACGAAAATGTTGATCTCGATAAGGAAATTCCATACTTAGATGTTCCAAAAGTTAACAAATGAATACAGAGTGGATTCTTTTTCAGATTTATCACGATTTTCATGACTAACTTCCTCTCACAAATACTGTCGATCCCTCATTTTTTAAGATGAGATTTTTTAAAAACTTTAAAGAATATATTTCTAAATTTCTTTGAGAGGCAATATTCAATCAACAGATGTGGCTACCTTACCTAATTTTCTGTAGAGGGCTTCCAATATTGTGTGCCATCTTTAATCTCCTTGCTTAAGTTGATATGATTTGTATATTTGTTTTATTTTCACGAATGGTATAAATTGGCAAGATACATTTTTTGGGGTACGTAAGACTGGATTCAGCCCACCACATTTGTGCCTTTACCGTACCCTGACAAATGTTGTTTGCTTTTGTTTTAACATTCGTTTTTTTTCTCTCTCTCGGAATAGATGGGTGTTGGTAGGATCTTTTGTACTATCCAATATTTAAGGACATTACTGTTCTACTGTTTATGGATCATGTAACTTTTGTTTCAGTATACACGTTTGTAAGCTAATGTGTTAACAACTGTATAATATTATCAAACACAATAGAAATCCTAGTAAATTACAAATTGAAACTTACATTATTCTCTAAAAGCTAAATCTGTGTAAAAACATTTAAAGTACTAATTTCATTGAAACGAGGTTTGTATTTCGAAAATATTGTCTCCTTAGAGATGCTCGAGGTCAAATATTTGAAAGTACAAAACCTACTACAAACGTTATAGAGCCGATAACTCCACAGCTACTTGTCTCTGAAATTCGTTTCAGTTATTCCTTGAATAAATCAAAAGGTACTCAATTCCCTTTTTAGAAAAATGACACTCGGTCGCAAACTTTCGCTGTATTTCCATTCAGCGGGTGTCTATCCCATTAAAACTTGATATGTCGTAAATCTACATTGACTTACCTACAAAATGATGTAAGACACACTTTTTGCCGTTGTCGGCATCATTCGTAGCAGGCCTTCGACATAGGGCACCGTAAATTATTTCGTCTGTTCGCAGTGAAATGACATTTTAAAGTCTTATTTTCAAGTATATGTAAGCATATATCAAAGTATGGTGGTAATCTTATTCGTCTACTTTCGTTTTTTGTCATTGTGTTTTTCTTCGACATATGATTTGTATAGTCCGTTTTTGGTATCGTTGAAATCTTTTTTTACATCATTAATAGTTCAGAACAAACAGAAATAAGCATATTTACCTGTACAATGTCCCTCTTCAACATAAATATCATCAATAGCTATATATCCTCTTGGGCGGAAATTAGGATCTTTTAATTTTCCTTCAATTACAATTTGATAATATTCGTATGGATGTAGATCTACATTAGCCTGGTTCCATTGTTTGTCCTGATTACCCGTTATCGTCCAAATGTTATCCATCGACTTTTTCAGTTTCTGATACACATTTAAAGTTCCAATTTGATCACCATACATATGATACCAAAAACGTAAGCACTGACTTTGTTTACGAACGATTGGTTTACTTATAAGTTGTGCTTTATCGTTTCTACTTTTACCATTTGCTTCAATATACATATAGAAACCATAATCTGCAAATTACACAAATGAAATTACACATCATGAAAGAACAATCAATGTTAAACGGAGTATACAATCATACAAAAATCTACGAAAGGACATGTAAACATGTCTCGTTCCAACCCATATTATGTCTATGCTTTGATAGATTTCATTAATAATAACAAAATTGATTTTGTTGAAACAGGTTGACTGTGAACGTGCTTACACGATTTTCATTTTTTTAATCGGTAAACATTTTCTTTTTCTAATAAATACTTAACGATCCCAAGTGTGATAACTTGTATGATATGAAAAAAAAAAAACCATTAAGCATTGGCCATTTTTACATACGATTGGATTACTAAATGTATCGTCTTATTTTTACCATTTGCTTCAATAAACATAAAAAAAAATATCACCTGCAAATTACATATTTAAAAATATACATCATGCATGAACCTCAAAAGCTCATCACCCCAACAGGCGTATGCTTTGTTGAAATTCCTTTAAATTAAAAGAATTATGGGGATATTTCTTGCCATACTACTAGCTGACGACATAAATAGAATAAAAAAAATTGGATGCTCTGTCAGTTTTTAATGTTATCTATTGCAAAACTTCTTTCGCTGTGTATTTCTTTAGTTAAAAGGGCATTAGCTACGAGAAATAAAATAAAAAAATAAAATGTGATTTTTTTTTTCAATCATAAACAATCAATAAAAGTGAAATAGTGAAATAATAATTCGCTTTTAGCAGCCAGATTGGTTCAATTTTATCAAAATAAGAAACATCGATGATGAAGTATTCACTTGCAGGTGACTAGTTCGACCTCATTAAATCCGTATTCATGTGACCTTTAATTAACCCCTTAGCTAGAGATGGGTTACGCATGCACGGATAGCATTTTTATTGACAATATCAAATAAGAAAAAAGAATATTTTTTAGATGAAACCCTACTAGTAACCTTACTTTGACATCTTTATTCAAACTTTGACAAGTGAGTAGATTTTACAAATGTCAAAGTTCCCGTTTTGCATATTCCCGTTAATTGCATGTTCTAGCATGGACCGTAGCTTTTACATAGGTCAAGCAAGGTTGGCCGTATCGTGCATTCTTATTATAAAAATACATAATACTCATTGTATGCAGTTGTCAATATGGACGGGTATGAGACGGACGACATTTTGAGTCAGACGTTGGATTAGGCAGAAGAGACTGAAGATAACGCAATATTTATACCCCAAAGTACTTATCAGTCTAATGAAGGTAATCATAAAATTTAATGTATTTTACATGTTTTATCAAAAAAAGCCCCATCCCCTTCCCAATATTAATTAAACTTTAATATTCGAACATACTGTGGAAAAGGTGTGTCTGGATTAGAAACCCGACGACCGGACAAGCTTAACATACACAAATACAGATTACATATGTAGGAACGCCCTTTTTTGGGGCCAGCCACCACAATAATCGCAAACTCTACTCGGTGCCATCGCTTGTCTTCAGCAATTCAAACATTAATATTTGTTTTATGATTATGACTTAGTCTAAATGATTACTATAAGCTGTATTTTCAAAGTGCAACCTATAGGACACTTTATAAATTCAGCTGTTTTACAAATCACGCCTCTTTTCGAAAGACATAATACTACTCATAGATATTTCCCATATATGAGATGAAACATAGAGATCATATATGGGAACCTGTACGTAAACAAAATATCTATGAGTAGTATTATGTCTTTCGAAAAGAGGCGTGATTTGTAAAACAGCTGAATTTATAAAGTGTCCTATAGGTTGCACTTTGAAAATACAGCTGTTTCTCAAACCACGCCTCTTTTGTGGAGATATAGAATATTCATAGATAATTAATTTTGTTTACATACTGGTTCCCAGTTATGATCTCTAAGTTTCATCTCATAGAGACATAAATTGGGAATGTTACAAGTAAATATACATATGCATATTGTCTATATAGAAATCTGTGGTAATCCTACAGTCAAGGTTGGGATAGTTAAGAAATTTAGTGTATTTGACCTTTGAAAAAATTGTAGTGCATATGCACTTTCCATCCTAGGATATGATTTTTTTTTCAAAACTTCATAGTAAAAGTGGTACAGTTTTAGCCGTAAAAGGAGTTCCTATGGGAAATTGCATTGTCAATATTTACAGAAATGCAACCTATATTGGGTGAAAAAGAGAACATACAGAATTTAACCAAATTTGGTTTATCTCACAGATTTTAAAGCAATTAACTCAAATATGAAGTTTTATAAATATTTCATGAAGATTGAGAAAATCCTGGGCTTTAACTATGATGACTCAGCATAAATTCACAGTTTTACAGTATGCACAGTTTACTTAAAGCCCTGAATGCAAAATAAATTCATAATATATGCATATTTGTAAGTTAAATTGTTTAGAAGTGCCTATATTTACTCGTCGCAGTCATTGAAACTCATAGATCCTTCCTGAATATTATTGGTGGGGTGTTTTTGTCCTGTCGATAACCCAAAAGTAAGCCGTAACGCCTAAATCTGCTTTTTTGTCACCGCGGCATAAAAAATACAAGCTAGAAATACAAAAATATCTCAACAAAACTTACAATAGTGTGTTCTATCCTGATTATGTACTAAATATTCCACGTTGCTAGAAACAGCAGAATAATTTAGGAAATTTGAGGCAGCCCAGGGGCAAAAAACAGAGAAAATTGCCTACCCCCCTGGGTCATAAAACAAATAATTTTACTTGTAAATGCTATGATTTTATGATTTTAAAGGTCTTTATATAGAAAACAATAACTGTGCTTGGAAGTTATGCAAAAATTAGATGTTAGCAGTCACTTCTATAAAATTTTAAGTGAATTTATACATCAGACTGGTATCTGCATACATACAACTATTGCAAATATGGCTTTGGTTTAACACTTCTAGCTCATATATTAGCTGAATTATGTCAGATTTATGGTTAGAGATGATACTGTTGTGACAAGAATTCTAAACTGACCATTTAAGGCAGAAATTGTGAACTTTCATTGACAAATAGGCATACAGTAAAATGTGGACTGGAGACACAGGCAGGATTTGATACTTTATATAATCTTGAATGTTGGAATTATTGACTGCTAAACATAACATTTACAGTATTCTGAAATGCTTTCAATATGTTATCAGAACAGTTTTAAACAGGTTCTAGGCATTTCATGTCAGAAAACATGCAAATAGGGTAAGCTAGCAATAATTAAAGTCTTATTTTCAAATTCTTTAAAAAACTGAAACAGGGGAGGGGGTATCAAATGAACAGTTAAAGAAAACTTAGAGTTTATGCAGTGATTTCTTTAAGACTATAATTCTGATAAATAAGTATTAATGTGAGAAATAGTGTTTTTAGAGAGTTTTCTATTGGAATAAATGTTTGTATAGGTTGCACTTTGTAAATACAGCTGTTTCTCACACCACGCCTCTTTTGGGGAGATATAGAATATTCATAGATAATTAATTTTGTTTACATACTGGTTCCCAGTTATGATCTCTAGGTTTCATCTCATAGAGACATAACTTGGGAATGTTACCAGTAAATATACATATTCAATTGTCTATAAAGAAATCTGTGGTAATCCTACAGTCAAGGTAGGGATAGTTAAGAAATTTAGTGTTAGTTTAAACTCTTAGAAGTTCGGGGCATATAAACGTTGAAAATATGCCACACAGCCCTATATTTTGACCTTTGTAAAAAAATTGTAGTGCATATGAACTTTCCATTCTAGGATATGATTTTTTTCAAAACTTCATAGTAAAAGTGGTACAGTTTTAGCCGTAAAAGGAGTTTCTATGGGAAATTGTTTTGTCAATATTTACAGAAATGCAACCTATAGACATTTCATAAAGATTATTTTCATTTGAAATAACATTTTTTCATGTCAACTGAAATTAAATATGATTAGGTTTGACCGGCTGTATTTCGAAATTTTTAGTTATAATCACATTTCGAAATATCTAAGATTACACATTTGTTCCGTTATAAATTATTAAAGGTATGTTCGTCCTACCAATTTGTCGCAATAAAAATCAAATCTTGACTTTTTTGAAGAGATTAAAATTCTAATAAGGTGTTTAGTCCTATAAAACTAATTAAATTTCTTAATGGAACTTTTTTTTTCGTTATCAAGCAACATTCACGATTAAGGTCATCTAAATGCCACTCATTACAATGTACACACCATTCAATTTCCATAAACAACTGTTGCGTAAATCATCCTAGTTGGTGACATCTTGGGAAAATTTGCCGTGTGCATATTAAACAGAATCATACGTTTTTTTTTAATAAATTACAGTATATTCATTTTAGCTAAATACCCTTAATAAGTGATAAGAAGCATTCACCTGAGTTCGTCGTATGATCCGACAAAGGTCCTGTATTCCACGAAAGGGTCTTTCCAGAGTTATGTGTCCAGTTAAAATCATCTTCTGACCCTTGGTACCAATTGCACAACGATTTTTTTTCAAAACTGCAGTCTAAACTTTCAGGTGCTTTATATATATAAAAAAAGAAATGTTATATGGTTGTTCGGTATAGATTTATTAGATAATATTCTCTTGAAATACAATATCCTTAAGGTTGGGTCAGGTTAAGTAACCTCCGACCGAATAGTTATATACTAGTACAATCAATGTTGTAAAACATGATACATTAAAAAATATATACATGTACGTTCAAAGCCGACAGTTGGACTGGTGACACCAGCAAAACCTATCGCATGGTAAGAAATTCGGTATCAAACACTAAATCCAAATCACAAGAGATAATCGAACCATTGAAAATACGTAAAAAGGTGACTGCAGTTTTCAACTTCGATGTGTCGATATTGTTTCAATACGAAATTACGCTTGCATGTTCCATCAGACATGAAGCATAGAAAGTTTGATCTAAAATCTACTAAAATTATTAACTTTCACATATTTTTACTTACAAAATTATAAGATTAGGTATGAAAGCGTTCCTCTGACCACTCATAGGCTCCAATTGCTTCATCGTATGTACATGTTTAAACGTTTCATCTCACAATATATTTCCCCTTTTTATGTCATTATGTAATGTTTATAGCTCTTTATATTATGGTTTCATTTAGATGGAATCGGAACCACATATCCCATGTAAAGTGTTATGGTATAATAATTCTTATATGATTTGCATATCTACAAATACTTGAATATGATTGGTCCGTTTGAACTTTTTATTTGGTTTACACTTCCATATACCATAACGAGATGCAGAATATCAACATTATTATTTTTTGTGTACTTTCGGAAAATGTCGATTTCACTATGATCTATTCATGCGCGATATGAAACACATGCATTATATCTTGGGGTTCCAAGAAATTCAAATTGAAGAAAAAAAAACTACAGCACTGTTATTCCTATTCTAATACATAACAAACAAAAATATTCATTAAAACTTGGAAAAATGTATAAAATCAAAATAAGATAACACTCCGCAAAATTTCATGAATAATCTTGGCGCATTAACGTCATGGTTATACGAATGAAAACACTAAAGCTGAATATTCCGTTACTAGTACGCTTCAAATTCATATAATGTCTCTTAAAATAAGGTTTTCTAGGTTGGTGTTGTTTCATTTTCACTTCTATTGCACTAATCAAACATTTATGGATTTGAGCAAGTCAATATGGCGGTTCACTCCTTAGTAACGAAATGTCACCTCGGAATTTGACGACTAACACCAAATTGTTACTTAAAAATTGCAAAATGGCTTTGGACTTTTTTCAGTTTGTGAATTAATCGCTCTAGTTTACACATCAATAACCTCTAGAAAAATATGTATTCAATCCTATAATAAAAGAGAGGCAAAAGACAACGAGAAAAATTCAAAAAGTTTAAGAGAAAATGACAACCCCATTATAAAATACGAGAAACGTCAAAAAAAAGATAAAAAAAGTTCATAAAACACAACGTAGGAAACAAGTCTAAGCAACACGAACTCCACCAAAAACCTGATCTTGCGCAATGCCAAAATATATGTTTAGACAGGACGATGGACTGCAAAATGTTCATATACAGCTGTATATCAATAGTATTTAGTTATGTTTTAATTTATTTACAACAAAATCAATGTTTGTACGATAAAAACAATATTCAAAGATCTTATAACAGTGTTTAATTGACAACCTTTATGATAATAGATATAGGAAGATGTGGTATGAGTGCCAATGAGACAACTCTCCATCCAAGTTACAATTTATAAAAGTAAACGATTATAGGTCAAGGTACGGCCTTCAACACGGAGCATTGGCTCACACCGAACAGCAAGCTATAAAGGGCCCCAAAAAATTACTAGTGTAAAACCATTCAAACGGAAAAACCAACGATCTAATCTATATAAAAACGAGAAACGAGAAACACGTATGAACTACATAAACAGACGATAACTACTGTAATCAGATTCCTGACTTAGGACAGGTGCAAACATTTGCAGCGGGATTAAACGTTTTAATGGTACCAAACCTTCTCCCTTTTCTGAAACAATAGTATAACATCACAACATAGAAAAATACACTATAATATATCAATTGGAAGGCTTAACTCAATCAAAAAACGTAAATTAACACACAATGAACGAATAAATTTGACCTGTGACACCTAAATGCAAATACACAGTTAATAAAAAATTACAAGGGATAAATAATTAAAGTCAAAAGTAAATAAACAGGTTTAAACAAAGTTAAAGTATGATATCACTGTGAAATTTCAAACTATTTTTAGAAAATCATCACTTTAGTTTATTTTAAGGATCGAAAAGTTTCACGGATCGTAAATAAAGTTACGGTCTCTATAAACAACATTACCGTTAGAATTAGGATGTGATATCCAGTTTTCTACAGGTACAGCCAAACAATTAAACCAAATATTTGTGTCTATGAAAGATTTTAATAAATGTATTCAATAATCTGCGGTTGCGAAACCCCATACTTATTAATTTACTAGTGAAACATAGATTACGTTCATTGAAATCTAAAGTATCACTACAGACACAGACAAAGCGACGAGTAGTGATACATAAACACCAGAAGTTCGGTCCAAAAGAACATCACCATCCACACAAGGCAAATTAAAAAAAAAGAGAACGTAACATCGGCCCGCCTGTCGTAAAGTATTGTATAGAGTTTCCAGTGTGAAACTTGAATATCTTAATCTAGAAAAAGACAATTATGGCTATTTATATTTTTTTAAATAAAGTTCCTGTATATTTAAAAAAGAATTTCTACTTATTTAACGAAAAAATATCATCAAGATAACGATAAGTGTTGTTGAAGATATCAATTAAATAGAATTTAAATACATCTTTACTGCGTTTGGCCTTAAAATATAATTCAAAACAATACATGAACAAGTCTGTTATCAAAGTGGCGCAATTAATGCTTCTAAGAATACTTACAATCTGTCGATGAATTTTATTGCCGGAACGCACATACATGTTGTGAAACAGAAATTTCATACTTTTAAGAATCTCATTACAACTCCTTATATCTAGCAAATTAACTCTTTCATTACAAAAGAAGGGTTTTTATGATTTGCAGCAAATGAAATTGCAATAAGATTTTTAAAACGACTATGTAATTAGATTGGAAAATGTTTGCCTGAAAAGATTGTGCGCAAATGTAGTGAAAAGAGTCGACAAGTCAAAAGTGTCAACCGAGTTAAAAGGTTGTCTACATTAATAAAATAGTTAATTCCATCATTTTCATATGCTTTATTACAAACGATAACTATGTGAAATCAGATAGGGAACTAGTTAATAGCAGTTGTTTTGTGTAATTTACGAAACTAAGACAAAGTTCAAATGTTCAATGGAGGCCTGAACCTGAGATGTGTTAATTATATGATTATTTACTATTTTACTACAAATGGAAGACTCGGATCTGATTCTAGAAGAATTTATAATTTCATTGGGTGGACGTTTAGTCTCCGACGCTTTCATCAGCCCAGTATCCAGTACTTCAGTATTGGCATGAGAATACGATTAGTGTTTTGGTTGAAATTTTATGTTATAAAAATTTTGAAAATCATTTTAACATGAGGAATATATCTCCTTCATACAAAGCACTATTCCTTGTCTTAATTTGGCTATACTTTAGGTGGTTTGATTAGCTCTTCAACATTCAATAAGGTTATCGATTTTGAAATATTGTGGCCTCAAGCATCACTGAAGAGGTATTAATTGTCGAAATACGCATCTGGTACAGTCAAATTGGTACCGTGTATGTCATTTATTCTCAAGTGCTTATGTGTAGTATTTACGCCCAGCACCACCACATAGTACGAACAAATAACACTTTGCAAGTACTAGAAGTTTGTTTCTTATTCTTGAAATCAGCGTATTATGTGCACTATTAGTAATTTCTATATTATTGTCAAAATGTGAAATTCGAATATCCACAATAATCATACATTATTAATTTATTATCAAGAGATGTTGTTATACGATTTTACAATAGGATGAAAAAACGTTTGTAATTACCTAACGACAATGTTTTCAGTCGTTTTGGATGGAGGAGAATATGTTGGTAATTTTTTCAGAATTTTTCTTAACTTCTCGATCTTGAACGATGTTGAGGTCCACGTAATAATATGGCTAGAGGAATCGTATCTAAAATTCGATGATTCACAGTCGCAAGTTGAAGGATCATTATTTTTCTATATAACTGATGTTTCTATAGATAAGATATTTTTATTCCAATTAAAGGGCCAATGAAGAGCAAAGTAATTTAGTTCAATGATTTTGATAATTGACACAATAAATAATTTTGATAATCATATATAAATATGAATATAATCATCTCAACTCAGTTGTAAATGACGTATAATTAGAAATGAAACTTCTCCTGGTTTTATTTCCGTAGGTTTACTAAAAAATAGGTGGTTCTATGTTATCAAAATAGAGAGGTTATCAATTTTAATGGTTGACCTTGAAAATACAACATAAGTTCATAAACTCAATACCCTATTAAAATAGTTAATTTCAAGAAAATATCGTTTATGATCAGGTGTATTGATACTTTGGAACAGCCCATGATGACAAAACGCTGTGATTATACGCGCACAGTCGCGGATTGTTGGGCTGAAAAACGAAATTGTATAAGTCTCCTTGAAAATATCTTTTTTTTCAGATATCTAATTGGTTTTAAAATTTGCACGATAATTGATACATAACATTGTTTAGTATTCCCTTATTTTATACTTTTCTTTGACTGTAAATACTATTTTACACTATTTCCGTTCAGAGTGATGATATCTGAATGAAGTACAAAATTATATACAAAATTAAATAGAAGCTCTAACTGACGATGGTACATTATATCTTATTTTATATTTAGTAATAAAGTATTAACTGTTTAAGTTGATTTCAGCAATGGTTTGCTGTTTTCTTTGTCAAACTACACAAACCCAACAGCTGTTAAATTATATTTAATGTATTTATCGGCGTTATCT